TATTTTACCTTTTGTTATCTATTTTCTAAATACGACTAAAATAGAGAATATACCACGCTCATTAACACCACAGTAATCCATTTTAGCTAATATAATACTAGTCCTCACCTGGCAATGAATTTTAACGATGAAGTTTCTCACCGTTCTGATGATATCAAATTGTGTGAAGCACTCGATATATTCTTTAGACTTATCAATAGAAAACACGTCTCCTACAATTTGCATATTGTTGTTTACCTGGCAATAGCCAAGATATCTATAACCAAGCAACGAAAGTTTCTTCAAGCCGTTGTTGCTAGGGATACTATTATAAATATTGATACCAAGATACTGCGGACACTTCTGAATTGCTGTTTGATTTGATAAGGGGATATGTAATTTCGAACTATTTCTGGTTACTTTTTCGTACATATCAGAAATTCTTTACACAATTGTCATCATAAGAACAAACATCACCAGGGCATGTTTCGGGCTATTCTTTTTTACTCTGTTTTGAATAATAATCCAACTGTGGGACAGTTTGTAGATGCCCCGAACACTCGCATCATCAATGCAGTTGCTATCAGAGCTCCGTGTGGAGCTGGTTGTGAGGATGACAGCTTTTCTCTTCCGGATAACCTACAACCATTGCACAGGGCGCCTGATGCTTCTTCACCAAATCCGTCCGCAAGTCATGGCAAGGAAACCCCTGCTGGTGTGCGTGAGATTTTCCATGTTGCCCATCAAGTAGGGAAGGAAATGGGTGCTGCAGTACATGCTGGTGACATGGAAGTGTTCTCCGTAGCCTATGTCAGTGGTTCTGTTGCAAGACGTGTTCTTCATGGTGTCAGCTGTGATGTGTGCAAGACATGCGTGACATCTGAAGTGCTGCTATCAGCCAATGTCTACATACTGTCACGTGTTGGGTGTATAACGCGAGAAATAACTTCACGCCGTGTTTGATATAGCGAATTTATTCCACACTCGCACTTACAATCACCCAAATTACAATCTGACAATTACTGCCATCGGCAGTATCACAAATACTACACTGCAAATGCCAGAATACAACTTACTGGTTGCTGGCTAACTCGGAACTCGTAACTCGAAAACTTGAGAACTGAGAACTGTAACTCGTTCACTTGAGAGCTGTAGCTAACTCGTAACTAGCCGCTGGCTAGATTCCAACTCAACTCGTAGGTAGCTGTCTTGAGAACTGTTGATCACACACAGGCTCGGAACTAACTCGGAACTAACTGTGAATAACCTTCGCTGCTCCTTATGTAGCCTCGTTCCGGACAACAAAGAAAACGGCCACGTAATATGCACCATTGTTGTGTGGTGCCGTGTTGCTAGCAGCGCTGTCCGGAGTTGTTTACTGCTGCCTAGAAACCGCGGTGTCCCTTGGTGACGTCACCGCCGTTGACTGGCGTTGCATAGCTACCAAAATGCTGGGACTCGGCTAACTTCGGCTCCGCTCGGCGCGTCAGCTCCCGGGGGGTGGGGGCATCCAGCTAGCGCGACACGTCAAAATATATTTTAAGGAGTACAGTGACACAGAACAGTCTCTCACCTGTCCTGAGAAGTTGGCATGGAGACTTTTGGTACGGCTGTAACCGTAATGGAGTCTGTAATGGCAGAGGTGGCCCACTTCAATTCAGTGGAGTAGCATATCACAGCTGGCATTAAGAACAGCATTGTCTTCAAATGGCTTAGGTGTACTGGCCGTTCACTTCCCCACCCATAAAGAGTAAATGGTGTAGTGACAGGTCTCACTAGAATTTACATTCCTTGGTGTAAGCAAGCAAAGAGGTTGAAGACTGAAACGGCTAGGCACAGGGCCACAAAGAGGAAAATGCAAATCTTGGCATATCAGTAAGTCATTAGAAAGTAGTGCTTCTTCATTTTTGCCTTGTAACGTCCTGCCCATACCTACGCGTGGAAGTCGGCAGAGAGCACTTATTGAATTAATGGAAGAATATCTGTGGCAACAGCTCATGTGAGCATCATCAGATGTTTCAAAAGTTGGGGGAAGCAACTCTTGTGACAAGTAACTGTGGTGCATTCACTTGCTTTTGACTAGTACCTCTGGTATCGAGCACTTTGTTGATAACAACATCTACAGTCAGCGATTGTGTACAAGAAAAAACAGTTCTGAACTTGATCTTCATCTCTTCCCCACTCTGCAGACATGTTTCTTTCACTCAGTATATTAGAACTTCACTTTCTGATGATGCTCAGAGTTCATTCTGTGCTTACTCTTGAAGTGATTATATTTCTGTTCAGAACTGTATGGGAAATTGTTTCCTAACACACATGGTCTTGTTAACGTGTAGATAAGAATGAAGTGGCATTACTTTATAACTGACTTGAAATGTTCAGTTTATCTGCTTCAGCATGAAACACTGAGGTGGAGAATTGATAACAGGATTCATTGTGTATTTTGCAATTAATTTTATTGTCTATTTCTTAGGTAGGAAGTTATAGTTAATAATATTTATATATTTTATTGTTATGGGTTTATCCCTCAGTTATTTTATTATTTTACCCACAATATTATCTTTAATATTGAATTTGGAAACATGAGTATGTTTCAGGATGACAAGTTCAAAGTTCTTTGATAATTGTATTACTTTTCATATATTATTAAATGCAGTCCTATACCTGTGATGCTGTATGGATGTGAAACTTGGTCTCTGAAATTAAGGGAGGAACATAGACTGATGGCGTTTAAGAACAGGTTGAGGAGAATATTTGGACCAAAGAGAGATGAAGTGACAGGAAGTTGGAGAAAACTGCATAATGAGGTGCTTCATAGCTTGTACTCTTCTCCAAGTATAATTAGAATGATCAAGTCAAGGAGGATAAGGTGGGCAGGTCATATAGCTTGAATAGGGGAGAAGAATGCATATAGGATACTGGTGGGAAATCCACAAGGAAAGAGACCACTGTGAACACCAAGGTGTAGGTGGGTGGACAATATTAGAATGGATCTTGGAGAGAGAGAATCTGATGGTATGAATTGAATTGATCTGGCTGAGGATAGGGACCAGTGGAGGGCTCTTGTGAACATGGAAATGAACCTTCAGTTTCCATAAAATGCTGGGAAATTCTTGAGTAGCTGCAGATTTGGCTACAGTAGTAGTGGTAGTGGTGATGATAGCAGTAGTAGACAAAAAATATGATATAACCAAGCAGGTTGGTGACCAGCAGCGATTTAGAATCTTATTCCAGAGATGCTCCATTGGAATCTTGGCCGTCGCACCGGATATACCATCTGAGCAATCTCTCAGTTTTCTTCAGTCCTTGCAGGAAAATACTACGTTGGTGCCTTCAGTAGGCCTTGGCCACTTTCTTCCAAATCCTTTCCAATTCACCATTCATCAGTCAACCTACCATTTCACACCATATAATCTTGATACTGATAGGTAACAAACTCCATGGGGCTGAGCAGTTCATGAAAAGCTGCCAGTAGTGCAGCTGCTCAAGAACTTCCCAGCATTTTATGGAAACTGAAGGTTCACTTCCATGATCACAAGAGCCCTTCACTGGTCCCTATTTTAAGCCAGATCAATCCAGCCCATACCACCCCATTCCATCTCTCTAAAATCCATTTTATTAGCATCCACCCACCTACATCTTGGTCTTCCTAGTAGTGGTCTCTCTTCTTCTGGCTTCCCCATCAATATCCTATATGCATTCCTGTCCCCCCATAAGTGCTATATGACGTGCCCATTTCATCCTTGATGTGATCATTCTAATTATAATTGGCGAAGAGTACAAGTTATGTGTATACTCATTATGCAGTTTTCTCCAACAGATCAGAAAGAAGATGGAAGTGGGAGACTAAGAGAAATAGAACAAAAGGGAGATGAAGGAAAATGGAAAAGTATGTTACAAATAAGCAAAGGAACTTGAGATGATGGAGCAAATTGAAGTATGGAGAACTGGACGCAGGGAAGGAGGAGATGATGTCAACCATCGACCAGGGCATGAAACTGACCGTCAAGGCCAAGAATGATGGAGCTCTACCTCCATCCCCCATGTGTCTCCACGGCATAATCCTTAATTAATTAAGCACAGGGACAACTTCACCTTTACCTGCTGCAGAGAGAAACATTAGTCCACTTAGTCAAGAAATTCCCAGCACTTCATGAAACTCAGTGGCTCATTGCTCAGTTCACTAGAGCCCGCCACTGTTCCATATCATGAACCACATGAATCCTGTCATCACCCACTATTTTACTTCATGATCAATTTTAATATTACCCCCAATCACAAGATCTTCCAAGTGCTCATATGTTCTTCAAGTTTTGTATCAAAATTCTGTATGTATTTCTCATCTCTACCTTGTGTGCTACATGGCGTATCTGCCTCATTCCTTTTAATTTCGTAATTTTAATAATAAATGGCAAAGAGTATAAGTTATTTAGGTCCTCATCTATTAATTTTATTCATCCTGCTGTCCAACCTTTTAGGTCTAAATATTCTCCTGGACATCCTCTTCCGCAAACATCTTCAAAACATCTTCAATCTGTTTTATTCCCCAAGGACGAGGAACAAATTTTCACACCCATATCGTCCAAATGGAGCTCCCTGATTTCACAAATCTGGCCCAGTTGGATGATTTATCACTTGTAATGATACAATATGAAACATGGTCGTTTGTCTGGCTTAATAGGATATTCTACATGTCACAGATCAGTGTAATGTGACATTAAGTGCATTGATTTCTAAAGTAAAAGAAAAATAAAGCGGTAACTAGACTCAGCTTAAAATGAAACTAACCTGGCAGAGTATCATATGTTGAGTTATAAGGACTGTTAAGCTAAATTTGAACAGTCGTATTACTACGAAAGAAAAAAATGTATAACATTTCTGCTTACATTCTGAACAGGCTCAGCTTTGATTTGCCATTCCAGATAACGTGCAGTGGGGTAACCAGAAAATCTTCTATTGTATATAAAACAACGGGGCCTATATTAAAGCTTAATTTGAATAAATTCCGCCATACTTGAAACTGTTTAGAGATAAATGCTGTTCCTTTTAGGTTTATTTTCCTTAACAATTGAATAATGCAGATGAATCACTCGAAGTTTGTGCGTGCGATGGATGTAGGCAGGTTCTAAAGTATTGTAGAACTGTGTCGACATTTACGTGGGCCAGGAGCATAATTCTTGAGCTCGTATTTGAGCAAATCAAAACATGCTGAAACATTTCCTCATTGTTTCCATCTTACACAACTTTTAAGAGCGCCTAAACAAAAAACGTGATTTTTAATCTATAGTTTTCATGTCCAGTGAAACTAAAATAAATGTTTTGTTTGGTGATGAGTTTGCTTTAAAATCATGTACACCGGACTGTGAAATAAATGCCGTACACATCATTCTGGCGTTGCCACGCAGGTTGCGAATAGGCAGGGGGTTATGACGCATTCGATATCTGGCGGAGTGATACAGCGACATTCTTCTGCGTCTGCGCATTCCTTCACGCAGATATTGCCCCTGTCGGATTCCTTCGTGCACTGCGGCTCAGGCGCCTCGGCGTTAATCCTGAAAGCTGAAAGCAAAAAACGATAGATGGTCAGTTATCTTTGTTTAAAAATGATATATTAGCTTAACAGGCTAAAATCTAGGCACCGATCTTTAACAGATTCTGTCTATTTTTCAACAAACGTGTGGAACGATAAGAATGACCGTAAAAAGTAAAACTAAAAAAGGATTCACGAATTAAATTTTATAAGTTAATGACATCTTCTATGCTTATGTATGGAAGTGAAAACTGGGCTCTGGGTAGATCTGAAGGGAGGAAAATTGAAAGAGCAGAGATGCGTATTTTAAGGTGCGTCTCAGCATATACAGAGTGAATATTATATAACCGGCCCGATGAATTTGCCAATAATTCCGCAGGTGATGCATATAACCGCTCACAATTACGACATAATAATCCGTGGGCCGTGCTGAGTCGAATGGTGTGCGCATGATCCGACAAGTGGCAGCCCTTATGCTGCAAGGTCAAGGACAATCCCGATACGAGTCTGCAGTGCGCAGGTGACAGTCATGGAGTACACTGTTGAACAGCGAGTGTTTCTAGTGCCTACTTGAAAACGGCGGACCCTTTCAACACCTGCTCTGATCACGGCACACAATCCAAGATATGATATGTGTAAATTACTTTAATATCTGTATGGTATAGTTTATATTACAGCTCATTTCGTCGGGCCGGTTCTATATGAATCACCCTGTACTTGGAAACCATGTATGCAATACGACAATAAAATGCATTTCTAGTATATGCTTTAGAAGAAAAATAAAAAAACTACGAAACAAGTGGCATAATCACATCTTAAGAATGGACTCACCCGAAAATTTTAAGAATTACCATCCAGAACGACAAACAAAGAGTGGACAGTCAGAGACGGAACGGCCTAATAAAAGCTTTGAAGTAGATGATGATGATGAATAGAAAATGCAGTGTTGAATAGGAGGATGATTGTGGCTTACAAAGGGAAGGATTTGGAAGGGATGGGTCGTGGGTTCAACAGCCGGTCTGGACGTTGAGGGCAGGAGACAAGCCGGTACTGTGCATGCGCAGTGCCTAGTTTTGGCTCTGCTATATGTTTCGGCTATTAATAGCTATCATCAGGCAAATACATGGATAAAACTAGGCACTGATCTTTATATTAGTTGTGTTGTGACGGTTGTAATAAAGAAGTTTTATATTATAACACAACAGGAATGATGACATGAAAATAAAAAAATAACTGAAGTAAGTATAAAATTTTATATCACATTGCCCGACACGTGAGCGCAGCCGTTATTAGAAGCAGTTAGGTACTAGCGCTGCCAATCTTAGAAAAGGTTAGGTATTAGCGCCACGTTAGCGCTGCCAATCTTAGAAATAGTTACACAGTAGCGGGCAGCGGAAGTTAACAAAAATATTTAAGCATTTGCATTTTTGTGAATACATTTGCAAAAATATCCCTTTTTGCTGTTAGGCTGTGGGGGGTTTCTTTTTACCAATACACTTTCTAGTAGTAAACTTCCTGTGTTGGCAGCGCAAACATGGAGGTCAAAATGACGGCTTAGGTCCCCCATAAATACGTAAGTACCAATAAATCTCTGCTCCTGTCGGGAAGAGAACCCCGATTCCACGTTAGTCAGCTCGCATTCTAGTCTCTTTACCGGCTGAGCTAACCCGTTTCTAAAGGACTGAACGCGCGCACACACACGAAGAACCTTCGTTAGAATACCAGTGTCAGCATCGACATGATATAATTAAACCTCAGCGTCAATAATATACGTACGTTGTAAGCTTACTTACAGATTGCCAGCAGAATAGAAAGGAGCAGCACTGAGGGCGCTAGTGTCTTCATGGTGAACGCCATTTCACTAAAATTGTCCCTCGGTGTTGGTACTGTGTAAATGAACAGGATGCAAATGGCGGTACCCTCATTACTTTATACCTCGATATAATGTTGGTAGTTCTGCTCTGTTACACAGCGTTGACGACTTCTTTATTGTGTTACGTAAACCAAAGTCCTTGGCTGCGATATCATACTCTACTGTTGGTCAGGGCTATATTGTACATTCTCCGCATAATAGATCTGTTTCTGAACACAGGATATTGCTTGCAAGCTGTAAATCTATTGTGTTATTAGAACCCTAGCAGCGAGCCGCGAGTGTCTGTCCGTCTGTATATCCTGATTCAATTACGAACATCATTGCTATGGAAACTGACTGATTTTTGTGAAATTCGCTTGGCCATCAAATACCATTGTTATCTCTCAGAATTGATATCTTGACCCAGCATTTCACTGGTTACAGATTGAGGAAGTTGATTTTTTCTTAATTATCTCTAGTCGACAATTTCAACGCGACAGTCTTGCGAACTTTTAAAGGGGAAGCATTCATATACTTTTAATGTACCATACTAATATGAGCTTCTGTATGTTAATAGCTGTATATGGATGATGAAGACGTTCTCCAGATGTGGAGGGTACCTGTATATATGTGGTTAAGAAGACGTGGATAGAAGACAAGGGGTGGTCCTACAACTTCGGGATTTGGCGAGAGGCTAAATGTTGGCCACTCTAAAGAACCGAGCATCCTACGAAACTTGCAAGTATGCAGAATATGGGACTTAATTTCTTGGAAGACTTACGCGTAGAGAGGGAGAAATGGATTCTGAAGAAATAATGTAGAGAGTGTGAGCTGGATTCAAATGGCTTATGTTAGGAGCCAATGCTGAACTCTTACGAACACAGTAATAAATTAAATTTCGGCTTCCTTAAAAGACAAAGAATACCTTCAGTAGATGATGGATTATTTGCTTCTCAAGAAGGAATGTGCCCAACTTAAGTAAAATATTCTTCGATGTCATGTATGTTTATCGAAATACAAGGAAACGTATATACATACATATAAGGCGGAACTATATCAAATGTAACTTTTAATAATTGAATACATACAGCATCTTTGTCTTAATATAATGTGGCATATACACCCGTTGCCAGGCAGTGGCCCACGTGCAGCAGTGGGAGTACTGTCGGAAGCGGTGTTTGCTATGTGGCCCGCTCCGAGGCTATATCACGCAACAGACCGAGCTCGGACTTGAGTAGGACTGAGCTGGCGAGGGCCAGCAGCAATTGTAAACGACAGGCCCACCCTCTCGTCAGAGAGAGCACCCACATTAACAAACCCGCAACTATGTGTCAGTAATAAAAAATCTGGTAACAGGCCCCAGATGGGTGCTTCATTCCAAGGCAGACTGGCCGACTGACCGATGGTCGTAACATAAGACTCAGACTCATACAAAATCATGAGAATGAGCACGTTCGCGGTGTAGAACAAGGCGAAGCCAGACGTAGAAAATGTAAGTGTTTTTAACTTGGCGGTGGTCAAGCTCACGACCGTTCAAGTGACAAAGATGCCGTTGTAGCATAAGATATGGAAGATAGACAAAGCTTTGCAAAGCGTGTACTGAAAGAGGACTTGTTTATAGTACAAAAGGAAGAATTTTCAATAACACGCTATATGTGCGGTACGTACACTTGACAAAAGGTCGAACATATTCATAAAAGACAAAACCATCTTCTCGTCAGAGAGGTTATTACAGAAAGGCTATGACCGCATGGGTTCAGTTGAAAAAAAAAATCTGGCCTTGAGTCTCAAGGGGTTTGACTCCAAAACGAACTGATTGGCGGTAAACCGACGGTCGGAAAGTAACTTTGACTTTGACTTTGACTTTGAGAGTTCAGTCAGAATAGTCACAAACTGATATATAACTACGTTATCAGCTATGTTCACCTAAGGTATTTCTGAAATTAAGTTATTGTGGGCCATGCGCAACTCGCAGACCTTATATTACAAACTTTTACTCCCACTATTATCCCAAGCCCTATGGATGCATCGTCTTTCGATTGGTGTGCGTATTATTACAAGCATGGCCTCTTCGATAATAAGAAGTCATGGAAGAAGATATTGATAATTTTTCTCTAAGCCTTAGGTTTTGTGGCCCATGTTTCCAAATGGGCTTCGTATTTTTGATGTTGTGTTTTTTAAATTGAGCGGTATGTAATAATAATGGTTTGTAGTGGTCTGCTTAACTTACGAAAAAAATGGTGAACGTATCATCAGAGTGTAGTGTTAATGACCTCGAATAATATCAATTGCATAGAAATACAGAAGGGGGTGTAGGGGAATGAATACCGATGAAAAACGAATATTTAAGGCTTATTGTTTTCAGGGGATGAACCGGAAAGAGTACTTGGCGAAGGGAGAGCGAGAAATTAATAATATACGCCAGTTTCGGTGGAGACAGGAAAGGGAATATTTGTGGAACTATGGAACATTTAATTGGTTTAAAGTACCAGATTACGGTATAACAACCCTAATTAAAGTGCACATGGAGTGGAAGTTTTTAATTTGAGATGTGGAAAACCGTAGAATTGTATAAATTCAAGGTTATGTACGTAAATGTTTTATGATTGACATTTGTGATGGTAGATTTTGAGAGGGCTGATTAAGACGTCTGGCATGCTTTCATCGTTTAAATGGCTCACATTTTTATCCCATCGTGTCATCTGTCAGTGGCAGGTTTCAAGAACCCACTGGTAATGTACAGATCATGTTAGATTAAACAGTGTGGGATGTGGCGTTGGTCTTATGTGGAACTGTGTGCTAGAATGAAGTTTGTTTGTACAATTCATTCTACAAGCACCACTGGTACTAAGTGTGTGTAGTATACATAAACATTGAAAGATTTCTTCTGCTATAATCTTGGCCTCACCTCTATAGTCACCTTTTTCAATATGTTCCTGATCTAACCCTCCAGCTTCCGATTATGATTTCTTAAATTTTTATTACTCATAGTCATCAACTTGCCTGGAACATCAATTATCTGTACTGAGATTGTTCATATCTTTCCTCAGTTCATCCAGGCAAATGCTGGGATAGTACCTCGATTAGACCACAACTGCTTTCTTCCGAGTCCTTTCAAGACATTATTCATTAATGGTTCCTAATGCCTCTTTGCTGTAGATACCTATGAAAGGTGAATTAATTTTAGTAATATCAGCAGCATGCATTCTAATAATGTGCCCATCCCTTGTAATTGAACAGTTTGTGTTATAATGACAGTATGTGAGTATTGAAAGCTAAATGTAAATAAATGAGAGCTGTAGAATTAAAATTGTAATTACAGTTTCAGGTAACATTTTTATTTTCCAGTGAAACATGAATATTGTTAAAATGGAACATGATTCAGATAGTGAGTCATATTCCACATCTTCACAGAATGAAGAAAATGTCAGTGGCTCAAAAAGTGATGAAGTTCCTGTCCTCTTAGTCGCAGAGGTAAGACAGGGTTTTGTGTTCTTATGAGTGATTGAGTCAGTGAGCATGTGTGAACCTCAGCTGGGAGACCACGTGTCCTGACTGAAGTTTCATTTGCTCTGTGCAAAGCTCAGATGCTGCCGGCGGACTGAGGAGAATTCTCTTTTTTTTTTTTTTTTTTGAGACAAAGCTCTGTGTAATCCCATCAGTGAAATTCTCTCAGACTGTCAGATTATTGCAGCAGAAGTCAGAAACTGCAACCCTGTCCAGTGTATATTATGTGTGAAAATTGTGTTTCTATATTGGTACCATGCTTAGAATGTGTCTCTTTAGTGATGACTTCTGTTCTAATAGTACTCTGATTTTAACAGTATACTTGAAATAGTGCTAGGCCTCGTGTATGTGGAGTCTTTTAATGTTTGTCTTATCTCTCGCAGAGGGTTTGTGTTGTGCTTGATTTATATATCCTCTCTTGTGTTGGTATCAAGAGATAGGGACTAGCTGTATGGATTGAGTGCAACTAAGTGGGCTCCACCAGAAGATGGAGACTAGAACTAGTCACTGAAACATTATGTGTTTTAAATAAAAGCAGGATAATGGATGATGTTGAAACACAATAATTGTGTCTATCAGCCTACATGGTGTTGTATCCCACAAGATAGTATTTTTCATAGTCATCACTGTGTGAACCTCAAATCCAACATACTCTTAGATTGTTTTCATGATGATTCTTCCCCGTTCATCATTCAGTCATTGTCCCGTTTGACACTTTATAGTCAGCGTAGTTCAGAAAGAGTCCTAGCCCATACGTTTTCACAGCTGGGACCTAATGTGTCGCTTTGGCTTTCAGGATGAGGTTGTGTTGGACTTTGAGGGTTTTCTCACATATGGCAAACCCTGCAGCTGCCATCTTCAGGGTTAATGGCACTGGAAGGGTATTTTGTAGCTCTTGTATAGCTCTCACAGCATTCAGCTTGTTGGAGGTGTCCATCCAATTGTAGCTTCATCTCCAGCATGCTGCCTAATGTGATAACTATATAAGAGTTACCAAAAACCCTCCAGGTGTCATTGATTCTGAAAGGGGCAGCTGCAGGGTTTGCTGAAACAATGGAAAACCTCCAGCATTCAGTGCAACCTAATCCTGAAATCCTGGGCCACTTGTGAAGAAACATTCATTCACAGTCAGTTCACTTGATGTCGTTTAATTTTAGGAACTGATATTATGTTACAGTATAACTGAATTTATAACAAGCAGCAATCACGTGAAAGCATATTATATTCTCATGTGATGGGGTGTGACTACAGATGGGTTTTGGATTGTAATAAGATTTATTGAACTCTTACAACTTGTAACTACAAGGATTATGCTCCCACTGTTCAACACACTTCATAAGCCGCTACAGAACACACTAGGTCTTCACTAGCTGTTGCTTGGTAGTGGCTTCTAATGAGAGACATTCTGCTTCCTCTGGGTTCTTGAATTGTTCCTGGCCTTAGCTGCTAGGTTTCAACAGGAACAGCTCACAGTGACTGAACTCCAGTGGTTTTCTGACTGAGTGACTGACTGACACCTAACTTCTTCCGCTTATAACATCTTTACACGGGATGTACAGAAAACACTGTTCCTGTGTTGCAGTGCACTTGTTTCCATGGAAACATACTTGTTAGCAACAGCTGTTGTGTTGTTGCTTATTTCATAGTAGTTGCATAGCAATGGATCTGCATGTCTCAGTAAGTTTCAGGCAGTGGATGCTCCTACAATTTATTTGAATTTTCATAACATGGGTTTTTGGGTTGTGATACCAAGTGCTGGCGCTGAAACACTTTAGCTCCATTTTCAGGGTAGAGGAATAAGACTATTGTCTTCTAGGATGTGGTGCTCTATAGTCAGGTAGATAGTTACAGCGGTTCTTCCAAAAAGTTGGTAATGATCTTTTAGGCTACACAGTGTGACATCCCAGAAGCTAGTGATCTTCATAATCATTGTCATGATATCCTCAGACCTCACAGCATAAAAACTTTCTGTCCTGAAAATGGGGACAGTGTGTTACTTTAAATGTCGGTGAAATTTACTGGATTGCACAGTGTCAAGTCTCAGAGGATTGTACCCTCTGTGGAGACAGTATATTCTTCTAAAATGTTAGCAGCTACCTAAAAAATTACAAGGTGTCATAACAGAGAACACCATATATGAATCTTCACTGCTGTCAGAACTTCAGATCTTTCATATGAACTTTGTTTCTCAGCATGAAGTGGATGTGATAAAAGTGGAACCAGATATTGCTACTGATGCTTGTTCAATTTATTCCTTCAATGAAAGTGAGTCATTTGATGATATGAAACAGGAGGAACCCTCAGTGAAAGTGTTTCCAGTGAAGAAGAGGAAGCGTAAGCTAGTAAGTGGAAAGCTTTTCATCCATGATATGTATGTAATGGCTGTCTTGTAATGCACTCAGTATCATATGTCACTTCTTACTCCATGTTTCGGCAACATGGTGCCATCTTCAGGTTCGTTATTTACGCTAAGCTATTATATTGTTTGCCATCTTGTGTCTTTCATAAAATTATTTAGTAAGTACATTATTCATCAACTATAATAAAATTTGTATATACTAAAACTTATTAAGATTATTCATCTGTATGTCTTAATTCAAACTCGCGTATAGTATAGTTCGTCCACTATGGGAGTCGTTTCTGTGTGTACCGTGTATGTGATGTGCCCTTTCTTTTTGGCTGCGAGCTTTTGCTTCAAAAAATATTCCCTTTCAGCATAGTATCATAAGAATTTTATTGTATTACATGCAGTAGTACCAGAGAAGTCAGAGGAACCAAGCAGGTTGTTCTAGCATTAATGCTGCAGACTTGTATTTGAAAGGTGTGTAGTTTTAATCATAGCTAGGACATGAGCTGTCCATTGTTTTCCCTAGTGCCTTTATTAGACTATGACCACTTCCTTCCAAATCCTTTATAATTCATTATTTATCAGTCATATCATTCTGTGTTATAGGTTTAGAGGAGAGCAGCAATTTGCTACTGGCCCTTGTCAGCACAGTCATTCTTGGTTTTGGGCCCCATCAGGTCCCATGACTATATTCTTGTACATTTCAAAACTTCTTCTGTGTTTAGAAATGGGGCCTCCTGTTCAGCAAGAGAGTTGGAAGTTAGAAAGTTACTACAGTTTATTTCCAATGTATATGTCAGTGAGAGATTCGGACATAGTTACGCAGCACTTTACTTCTGTAAGGATGACATAACCCGGTTCATGGAGTAGATGGATTGTAGCATACCTCACAGGGCTAGAGATACAGCTGGACAGTAACCACCTTCTTGAAAACACAGTGTCATAGTCTGTAAAACCACAATCTATAGTTTAAAACAGAATTTACTGTAGAAAAATAGAATGAAATGTTCTACAAGATACAGAAATAGTATGAGAGCATGCGAGTGATAATACTGATTCTGACAGTTAATTTAAGGTGTGAGGCTTGGATTGAGGATGGCAGATGTGGATGTAGAACTTCAGATGTCAGGAACCTCTTAAAATGTAGGCGGGTGAAAGATGTAAAGAGATACCGGATGCTGGTTGTGATGTACTGAAAAGGAAGTAAGCTTAGAAGTTAGCAGGGTCACTCCTAGAAGGTTCTGTTACAGAAGACTGAATAGATAGATAATGAAGTCAAGGTAAATATCTTAATGGGGTGTGACACCATTTGGTGTGATAGGTATTAACCAATGTTTCATACAAACCTGATGCCTCCATCACTAGGAAAGTGGAGTATCCTGCAGGAGTTTCATTTGCAATGGTAAATACTCATGTCATCCCAGAAGTTAGTAACTACTTAGTCATTGTTGTGAGGACCTCAAATCTTGCATATATAACAAATAATAAAAATACCCACATATCTAACTCACCAACTAAGTTCATGGAGCTGAGCCCTTTTTGAGAAGCCACCAATTGTGCAGCTGCTCAAGAAATTCCCAGCTAATTTATGGAACCTGAAGGTTCATTACTCATATCTACAAGAGCCCTCCACTGAGCCCTATCCTGAGTCAGATCAATCCAGTCCATAAGACCCCAGTGGTCTCTTTCCTTCTGGCTTTCCCACCAATATCCTATACGCATTCCTCATCTCCCCCATTCGTGCTACATGCCCTACCCACCTCATTCTCCTTGACTTGATCATTCTAATTATAATTGGAGAAGAGTACAAGTTATGAAGCTCTTCATTATGCAGTTTTCTCCAACCTCCTGTCACTTCATCTCTCTTCAGTCCAAATATTCTCCTCAACACCCTGTTCTCAAACACCTCAGTCTGTGTTCCTCCCTTAATGTCAGAGACCAAGTTTCACACCCATACAGAACCATAGGGAAAATTATAGTTTTGTATATTCTAATTTTTATGTTTTTTGACAGAAGATGAGAAGACAAAAGGTTCTGGATTGAATGGTAGCAAGTATTACCCAGGTTCAGTCTGCTCTTAATTTCCTCCTGAATCAGGTTTCGATCTGTTATCATTGTTCCCAAATATCTGAATTGTGCCACATTTTCAAAACATCTGTTTCATATCTTTATATCATGATTTTGCCCTGCATTATGGTGATGAGACGGCAACATATACTTAGTTTTCTGTGTGTTTACTTCTAGACCAAACTCTTTACTTGCATCAGTTAAAGTTTGTGTGTTTTTCTCTGTGGTATCTACATTATCACCCAGGAGATTCACATCATCAGCATAGGCCAACAGCTGATGTGTCCTGTTTAATTTCAGTTCCACCTGGTTTCCCTGGACCTTTCTAATGGCATATTCTAAAGCAAAGTTGAAAAGGAGTGGCGATAAAGCATTTCCTTGTTTTAGACCATTCTGGATAGGAAATTTATCAGGCAAATGTTTACCCACATGGACTTTACTACACGTTTCATTTAAACACATTTCAGTCAACCTAACTAGTTTCATTGGTATCCCAACTCTATAAGAATAGTATACAATACTTCCCTCCTTACCAAATCATAGGCTTTCTTTAAGTCTATGAATAGCTGATGTACTGTCTTATCGTACTCCCATTTTTTCCACATATGTAACAAAGTATTTAATATTCTTTTTTCTTAGGGTAATAAAACAGCACGTGGAAAGGGACGCCCGTACTGTTGTGAAATCTGTAAGAAAATCTTTTCTCAACCTGCCACTCTAAAAAGACATCAGCGGGTGCATAGTGGTGAAGGATTATTTACATGTGATGTGTGTAAGAAGTTATTCAACCAACGAAGTCATCTCACAACACACATACTTGTTCACACTGGAGAGAAACCATATTTATGTCATATTTGTGAGAGGTCATTCAGTCGACAGACCAATCTGAGGGTACATGAACGGATACACATTGGGGAAAGATTGTACCCTTGTGATATTTGTGACAAGTCTTTCATGCGGTCAGGTGATCTCAAGATTCATCGACGTGTACATACGGGGGAACGTCCATATTTTTGTGATGTGTGTGAAAGAACTTTTACACAGAGTGGTGCTCTTACGGATCATAGACGAGTCCACACTGGGGAACGACCTTACTTGTGTGAAATGTGTAATAAATCATTCAAGAGGTCAAGTAATCTTAGGCAGCACCAGCGTATTCATAGTGGTGAACGCCCATACTCATGTGATATTTGTAAGAAGTTTTATCGTGAGGCTAGTAAGCTGAAGAATCATCTGTTACGTAAACATAATGAGAAGTCACCATTTTCCTGTGAAGTCTGTCACAAATCCTTCTGTCATCTGGGTCGTTTGAAGACACATCAGAATTCACACAGAGTTGACTGACTTATGGAATACTTGTAAGGAATACACAGTTTGAATGTTATGTAGCCTAGTAGATCATCACAGAGGTTTTAGAGGGACTTGCTGCCATCTTTGGTTTAGAATGGTAAGCCAAGAATGAAGAGAGTGCTGTGGATATAGGGAAAGGGGAAACTGTGACTCTGACCCTAATCAAACCAAGGAGAACAGTATAAAGAATGAAGAAAGCAGTCTCCCGGGATTTGGCGCCGTGTATATGTGGTGTTAACCGACGTTTCGGAGGAACGTATCGGTTCTCATGGTCTCTTCGCTTGCAGATTTCTTATATTTTTTCTTCTACCCTGAAGATGGAGGCGATACGTTCCTCCGAAACGTCGGTTAACACCACATATACATGCCGCCAAATCCCAGAAGACTGCTTTCTTCATAGTCACCGCCATGAAAGCCTCAAATCTTACACAGTATAAAGAATATTGGCCCTTTAAAGGGCTCTTTTCCATGGGCAGATTGAATGGGAGAAACGTTTGCTCTGAGTGAACCAGTAGGCAGTAAAAAGATGTCAGGAGAATCAGGAGTAACATTGAGGTAGTAGGTTCCTCTGAAACATTGGTAACAGTCTACCAGACTGCATGGTGTCATATCTCTCAGTGGTGGGTTGTTCTGAAAATTCATATTGCAGCCTTTTGAGCTGAGACTTTGTATAGTCTTGTAGATGGATAGTAATTTCTCTGTAGTATGTACTGCATTTTGAGAGCGCCACCTACAAGACCACATGGTGTCATTAGCCAGAAGACCACAGTATGAACCTCTAAGAAACTATTTTCTTAAGTTTGAGTTACTGAGAAATATTAATCAGGATGTGACTGAGAACATCCTGCCATATGATGTTAGTAATAAGAAATAAGAAATAATTGACAAAATATGAGAGGTTCAAACTCATTTATAAACTGTTTTCAAACATATCATCCAGTGTATTTGTTTACAGGAATTTAATTACCATTCCAGATACATTTAGTTTGCATCGTGAATGGGTCAGAGGGGTTAATATTTGTAGGAGATCATTGTATGGAAGATGAAGTGCTTGAACTTGGCCCTGTTCATGCAGTATATACATTTGCCTTTAGTGATAGGGAGTAGAATGACACATAATGTAGAACTGTTCTCCTTCCTGTAATAATCGTGTTTATGAAATCTGAGATCTCTTTAAGGTCAGTGTAGTGCCAAGCTTGAAATAAGTCCGAACTGCAGATGTTCTGCCTGTTGAACCTGTCAGGGATGGTTACAGATTATGATACACAAAAATAAAAGTGTAGAGCTGAGAACCTCTTATAATCCCACTTCCCTGCCATAGACCCCATGTAATCTCCCTTCAAACCTAACCATAGCATGTGCGCTGTAAAATGGTGTATCTGCCATATGAATTATGTCATGTTCTGTTCTGTTTATTAGTTTGTGGTCATAACAGTTTGGATCCCCTTTATTGGTTATGTTCGTGTGTATGTCCATAATGTGATATTTTACTTTAGGATGTTAAAATTTATGCAGTAAAAATTATAATGGTGCTATATTATGGTAACTTACATGATGTGTATGTATAATACAGTATTACAAATGCAACGCTTTCATAGCTTGCTGGTTAGTCCGTGTTTTCATACTGTCATGTAGTCGTGTGCACATGACTTATGAGATGGGTTTTGGATTGGATGATTGCACCTTATACATTCACATCTCAGGACTACAGGCAATAGAGCGCTATCACTGTTCTACACACTTTACATTTCACGGTTACACATGCACTAGGGTTCTCAGCCTTTACTAGTTTTATCCAGGCACTGGATTTATAACAGTCCCACTGTAACTCCAAATAACACATGAAGTGTTCCTTTCACACCCTGATTCATTTCTTGCCATTATTCTGCAACTGACAATTCCAGAGACTCGATTGAATTTAATACCTCTGCTCCGGCAGGCTGGCATCTTAAAACTTGACTCGATTACTGTTCTCTAATCGGTCCTCTTAAAAAGTCAGCCAATCAGAAAGTCTTGGTGTTGAGAGCCCCATCTGGGGCTCATGACCAGATATTTATTACTGTTTGACAGTTATGGTCTTGTTTTCTGTGGAGTGCCCCCTCTGACGAGAGGACAGGTCTGTCTTGTATATGCTGCTGGTCTCTGCCAGTGCAGTCTTTCTCAGGTCCAGATGTCCTGGTTTTCTATGCTGTGATGGTTTGTGTATGTAGACTATGAAAACACAGACAGAGTAGTGTTCTAACTAACAAGCTATGAAACTGTTTCACTTATGAGACAGCATTATAGTACATACATATCAAGTGCTCAACTAATGCAACAAGAGGTTCAAATACAATAACTCAGCGCACCGACAGATTGCTGCGCACGCTGGTTGCAAGTACTGCACTACTAATTCTGCTGGTATGTGTGGATCTGCCCATGTAGTCTCTCTGTTGTCAACTATAATCATTTCCATGGAAACTGCCAATTCAGGAGAGCTTGAATCTGTATTTCTTATTTTCTTTCAATATTGCCTGTCATGATGCAGTTGACTTGTGAATACATGGAGGGGTCTTTGTTAGTAAATACTATGGTGATCTGTAAATTGTGATATTTTTCTGTTACTGTTAAGTTTCTAGCAGAATTCATATGTTTTTACAGTGCTGTTTATATTATTTTAAGTACCTTTCAATAATTGGTTTGAATATTAGAGTTGTGTTCATCTTTCATTCCCAAATTGCAGTGTACAGATTTAATTCTCGATTTTATTCATGAGAGATACATTTAATCTTTGTAGCATCATTTACATCATAATATTATAATTTTCATTTCGTGCATCCTGCTGTGTTACAATACATACAACTTATTTATTGGGCCGTCACAACACAACAGTCAAAAGAACTTCAGGGACAACGCCCAGATACAGTTCACTACATGTTTCGGCCACTAATGGCCATCCTCGGACTTTACGTGCTGCAGTTCAGTGGTGTATGTTTGTTGAAGTGTATTCACCTGAGGATGGCCACTAGTGGTCGAAACATGCAGTGAACTGTATTTGGGCGTTGTCCCTGAAGTTCTTTGATTGTTGTGTTGTGACGGCCCAATAAATAAGTTGTATTATGTTGCTCCAAGACCAGTTAATTTGAAAGCCCTGTACCAATATGGCTGGTCAGAGCCCCTGAGCGGTCTAAGGTATGTTCTCTCTTCTGCCAGAACTTTTTCCAAGGGGAAGCCAGAAAATTTGCTTACAGACTTAACGTTTACGCCATTGAAGACTGATGTACTGACTGCTGTAGGATATTTAGAGAAGATGAATATGGCCTTTAAATACTTATAATTTTTTATAGTAGTATTTTGTAAATTTCTTTCTTTTTTCTGGTTTTTATTTTTCCCAAAAATTCAGTGGTCATAGAAGGGCTTACTATTGTAAGACCAGTGAAATTTTATTCTTTCATTATGAAACTGTTCAGAGAGGCACCAAAGAGTGTTTGTGGTTAATTCTGCTAGTGCTTTGTTTCATAACCCAACAATTACGCAGTGGGAATTGCACACTTGTTCCGACATCCTGAATGCAAGTATGACTGTAGGCTATGCTTGCAGAATATGTGTTTGATCACACTTGTCTCTGTGTCCCCAGTTAAGATTAAGCTGTTACCTTTCATACCAGAATCTTCAGTGGACAAGATGTCCATTTTTCTCCCACTGCTCACTAAGCCAAAGATGATGGCTGGCAAATGGACCTGCAAGTTGGCATGTGATCAATAGTGACTTAGATGCCACAGTCACGTTGTCTTTTTCAGTTTTGTAGGAAGGAGAATGTATATAAATACAATCAGATGCATGATCATGTTATTGGTATTATGCATCTCTTTGATTCTTACTATATTGCTTACCAGTGGCAAATGCTGATTGAGACCTCAGATCATGCAGAAATGAAACTGCACGATATGGCAATAAAATATTTGTTCTCTCTCCTTCATGCTGATGCATTTCCAAAAGAACAGTTGTTACCTACAGGCGAGTTGTGAATCTAACAACTTTCTTGGCGGCTTTGTACAGATAAAGCTAAGAAATGCTGTTAACCTCTTAAACTTTAGAAAAGTGCAGTGTACCAGTCTGATTCATTTATCTGTCTATGTACATATTTGTAAGCACACAATGGAAACCATTACCTGCCTACAGGACTGTTGAACACAGAATTGCATTATATGCCAAATTATATAACAGCTTCTTTGCTAATGTTCAGTATCAAAAGTTAATTTTTTACAGTGCTCTTGTTTCCTTCAAATCTGTCACTTGGTAAAACAGTTTATGTTTACTCATATAGTTAAATAACTTTCTGGTAGCACAGTCTCCATAAGTTCACTGTCATTAATACAAAGTCCTTGGATGGATGAGATCCCAAGCCAGTTATATTCACTTCAAACGCTCACAGCCCATTTCTCGAAAATCAGTTTTAATAATGGTTCCACAACTGCTTCTCTGTGTTCCATGTGGTTACTGCTCAAGAAGTGTCATTAAAGAAACTGTTTATGCACGTTTCCTTCCCTTTCAAATACAAGAGACTGGAAATCTGGTATTAATGTAAATTAAGTGTTATAATGCAGTGAACTGGTATGGTGGTGATATGCACCAAAATGAATTTCATGGCTGTTTACTGTGGGTAACAAATTGAAAATTAAATTACAGTATATTAAGTAGCTTTAAGAAAACACATAATTTATGCAGAACTAAAATAAGAAGATAAATTTTCCAAATATGCGGGACAAATAATGCAGCTTAACACTTTTGGCACTGGGATGTATTTCCCTTGTGTTATCGTTTGGAGTTTGGAAGAGGTTATGTTACTTCCGTACATAGTAAGATTTTAACATTAACAATATTCGAGATGTTATATATACAAAATTGTTTCATAAATATATTTTCACGTTAAAACTGAAAAGAACGCGAGAGAAACTTAATTATATCTCGAGAAGTATATGAGAAATTAGCATACACATGTAACGACTCAAACAAATGAATAGCTTTATCCGTGATCCAACTCAGGAAGCGTTATGTCTTTCAGTTGCCTAACTGGCAGTGAAAAAGGAGCGGTTGTGATTTAGTCGGCTGTATCTGGTGTTGTAAGTTGTGTTGTAAAACGTAGGACGGATATGATAAAGAGATTGCAGCATTTTGTTAGAATTCTGTACAGTGTA